AAATGAACAGGATGCTCATGTAGATGTCACTGGGGAGGGAAGACTGGGAAAGAGTTTTAGACTGGAAAGCCTCTCTAAACAAAGGCGTTTCAATTATGATCTGAAGGATGAGAACTAGCTAGCCATACTAGAAGTACGGTGAAAACCATTCCATGGGCTGGGCACGGTGGCTCACACCTGCAATCTCCCAAGTTTAACCCTTTGGGAGGCTGAGGAGGGTGGAGAGCTTGAGCCCAGGAGTTCAAAACCAGCCTGGGCAACATGGTAAAACCCTGTCTCTACAAAAAATACAAAAATTAGCCAGGTGTGGTGGTGGGTGCATGTAGTCCTAGCTACTCAGTAGGCTGAGGTAGGAGGCTTTCCTGAGCCAGGGAGGTCAGTGCTGCAGAGAGCTGTGATTGTGCCACTGTACTCTGAGTGACAGAGTGAGACCCTGTCTCAAAAAAACAAAAAAAAATTAAAGGCCAGATTCAGTGGCTCACGCCTGTAATGCCAGCACTCTGGGAGGCCAAAGTGGGTGGATGACCTGACGTCAGTTCAAAACCAGCCTGGCCAACATGGTGAAACCCCATCTCTACTAAAAATACAAAAATTAGCCTGGCGTGGTGGCACACACCTGCAATCCCAACTACTTGGGAGGCTGAAGCAGGAGAATTGCTCCAACCCAGGAGGCAGAGGTTGCAGTGAGCCAAAGTCACACCATTGCACTCCAGCCTGGGTGACAGAGTGAGACTCTGTCTCAAAAAAATAAAATCAAAAAAGAAAACTGTTTCATGCTCTTGCACTATATCACATGACAGAGACCATACACCTCACAAAGCCTAAAATATTTTCTATCTGGCCCTTTACAGAAAACGTTTTCCAACCCTGGGGACTGATAATCACAATAATGACAAAGTCGCTGTCCTTGGTGTACCAGAATTGTGATGTCCCATGTCACCTGTTCATGGTGGGGATGAAATACTGTGACTCACATCCCCTCCTGCCCTTGACACCCAGCGGCTCCCCTGGTGAAAGCAGTTAAAATGGACTCTGTGCCCTCATGATCGTGGCTCAGGGAAGAGCACAGGGAGGTGATGCTCAGGGCACAGGCGCTGAACATCTGGACCAGGGAGTGACAGTGGACACCAAGAGGCAGCTGTGGGACATGGTTTAGAGCTGGCAATGCTAGGACTCATGGATGGATTGGACCGGATAGAGGAAGCTGAGGAAGAGGGGCAAATTGAGGACAAGGTTTCTGGTTCAGGTAACTGGTTGACAGTCCTTTACTTAGATGGAGAAGGCTGAAATATAAAAACCAAGATTTTAGTAATATGTCCCTCAAGACCTTTGTGAAAGGAAGACTTGGGGCCCCCAAATCACTAAGCCAAGGGAAAAGCCAAGCTAGGAACTGAGTCAGGCAAACCTGCCTCCCATTTTATTCCTAAAGAAGACAGCTACAGAGATTAAAAAGCCACATATCCCCCTCACAACTTACCCACAAGGAAATTCCTCTTGGACAAAGGACAGCAGAACTCAAAGTCATGCCTCTGCTCACCTGAGACAAATGCACATCTGATGGCTTTCTCTACCCTGTTGTTTCGCTAAGCCAGACTAAGGCATAAGTGACTATTTCCTCTACCCTAAATTGTGTATTCAGCGAAAGGCTAATCAGAGACTCAAAAGAATGCAGCCGTTTGGCCAGGCGCTGTGGCTCACGCCTGTAATTCCAACACTTTGGGAAGCCGAGGCAGGCGGACCATGAGATCAGGAGCTCAAGACCGGCCTGGCCTACGTGGTAAAACGCTGTCCCTACTAAAAAGACAAAAATTAGCTGGGCATGGTGGTGCGCACCTATAACCCCAGCTCCTTCAGAGGCTGAGGGGCAGGAGAATCGCTGGAACCGGGAGCTGTAGGTTGCAGTAAGCTGAGATCCTTCCACTGCACTCCAGACTGGGTGACAGAACAAGACACCATCTTGGGAGGGAAAAAAAGAATGTAACCATTTGTTTCTTATCTACCTGTGACCTGGAAGCCCCCGCCTCGAGTTATCCTGCCTTTCAGGACCAAGCCAATGTGTCTCACACATATTGATTAATGTCTCATGTACCCCTAAAATGTATAAAACCAAGCTGTGTCCCGACCACCTTGGGCACATGTCCTCAGGACCTTCAGAGGCTGTGTCACAGGCACGTCCTTAACCTTGGCAAAATAAACTTTCTAGATTGCTTGAGGCCTGTCTCAGATATTTTGGGTTCACAACTTACAGAAACATAGAATTTCAGAGGTAGCCAGGAACTTAAAGATAACATACTGTAACCTCCAATTAATGCTTGAGTATCCTCTATAATTTCCCCTGGATTTATAATATTAATATCACCTGGGAACCTGTTAGACTTGCAAATTATTTGACCCCATCCCAGACTTACTGAATTAGCAACTCTGGGGACAGGATCCAGCAATCTGTTTTTGTACAAGCCTGCTGAGTGTTTTGTTGTTGTTGTCATTTGCTTTTTGTTTTTGAGACGGAGTCTCGCTCTGTCACCGGGCTAGAGTGCAGTGGCACAATCTCGGCTCACTGCATGCAACCCCTGCCTCCGGGGTTCAAGCCATTCTCCTGCCTCAGCCCTCAAGTAGCTGGAACTACAAGTGCGTGCCACCACACCCAGCTAATTTCTATGTTTTTAGTAGAGACAGGGTTTTACCATGTTGGCCAGGATGATCTCAATCTCTTGACCTGGTGATCCACCTGCCTCGGCCTCTCAAGTGCTGGGATTACAGGTGTGAGCCACTGCGCGCGGCCCCTACTGGGTGATTCTGATGCGCTCTCAAGTTTGAGAACGATTGCTCCACAGCATCTTCTCAAATGCCTGTTTTTCTCATTTCGAGAACCTCCTAACATGATGGCGTATATTTTGATGGTGTTTACAGAGACGGCCCATGCCATCTATAGACAAGCGTACTGAGAGGCTCTTCCTAAGAATGAACTATGACAAGTTTTCATGTGGGAGATTAAAACAAAACCAAAAAAAAGATGACCCTTCACCTTCAGACTTGAATAATCAGACTATTAGGTAAGACTCTGTCTCAGCCCGTCCCTTGCTGCAGTCTCTGGTAGGCTGCGTCTCTCATGTTCTCTTTGGTCAAACTTCTCCCCCTTCTCACTCCAGCAAGGCTCATATCAGTTACACTTTCTATGTCTCATAAAGTTAAATCAGTAACCAGGAGTCAATAGCAACTATGGAGATACAGAGGGCAATAAAGGCAGAAGCAGCAACATTCAACTTCACCCAGGTAAGAGGGTAATAAAATGCCGTGAAGGACAACCCAATGGGCAAGTCCACAGACTGCCAGAGGCATCATGCAATTGAGCACTCCCCACCTCCACTACTGAACACTGCCAGCATGCCGGCCACAGGGCTGTAGTGCTTAATAAATGCCTGTCAAATGAACATAATCTTATGAAAAAAAGAAAGAAGTAATTAACACTTATTGAGTCGTTAATGTCTACCAACTTATTCTGTTCAATGTCCTTTGATAAAAGAAAAACTTAAGCCAAATTAAATTTAAAGGAGTTTATTTGAGCAATGAACGATTTGCGAAGCAGGCAGCCCCCGGAATCATGGCAGATTCACGGAGATTTCATGAGTGCCTCGTGGTCAGAACAAATTTATAGACAAAAAGGAAAAGCAGTGTACAGGCATCCGCAGTGAGGTACAGAAACAGCAAGATTGGTTACAGCTCCTCATTTGCCTTATTTGAACCCAGTTTGAACACTCGGCAGTCTATGAGTGGTTGAAGTATGTCTGCTGGGATTGGCCAACACTCAGCTATTGTTACTGGTGCATACTATTAAGTTAGGTTTTCAGTTTTGTCTGACTATTAAGCTAGGTTACTGTTCATCCACAAGGACTCAAATATACAAATAGGGAGTCCATCTCAGGCCATATTTAGTTTGCTTTCACACCTTTCAGCTGCATGATCTCATTTTGTATTGCAACAATATAGAGTGACGTTATCTATGTTTTAGGAAACAGAAATATGAAAAATATGGGGCTCAGAGAGGTTAAGTAATTTGCCCAAGCGTGCACTGCCAGTAAATGGTAGAGCTGAATTTTAATCCGTGTCTTCTCACCCCAGATCCCATGCCCTTTTGCCACCGCATCCTGTGATGTCCACAGTTCTGGTCACAGGACAAAAAGAAAGCATATGGTGGTGGTGATGGGGTCTTTAGCCAGTCCATGGACACTAGAAAGGGTAGTCCTATAAGGCTGGAAAAACTGGAGATACACACACACACACACACACACACACACACACACACACACACACAGCAGGCAGCTCACATTTGGGGCATTTGGGTTTCAAAGAGATTTAGTTTGACTGGGAAGCTCAGGGAAGGCTTTGTGGAGGAAGAGGCTTCAGGATGAGTGTTGGAGGGTGGGATGGATCTGGACATGCCCCCACGCCTCTGGTTCTCACTCTTCTGGAATACACTGTGCCTCCTGTGCAGCTTTGATCCAGTCCTTCTTTCAATATCCAACTTGAGTTAGACGTCCAGTTCCATGTCCAGCCGCTCGACAAACCTCCGGGACCACTGCAGCCCTCTGACACATCTCCCAACTGCCTCATCACTGATGGTCTGAATATTTGTTTGCTCCTATCCATACTTGTACTAGAATTAACCCAACAGTGGTTATATTCTGTCTCGTCAACTCCTTGTAAATTCTAGAGCAACTTGTATCCTAGCATACCACCCAGCATCCACCAGACACGCCATAAATGCTCACTAATGGCTTCCAAGGGAAATCTATTGGCTTACCAAATCTTAATGACCCACTTCTGGATTTCTCACTTTCTCAAAGAAAGACTTTGGAAGGAATTCCCATGGAATCCTACTTTAGACAAGGCCATAAATGTTCTGAGGGGCAAATAAACTCAGCGTGGATGCCAGAAAATAGACGTAGTGACTGCAAACGAAACTCCAAAGAAGACTTTGGAACTTGAAAGAGAAACCTAAGTTGAGTTTATTTTCTAGATAATTAGTATTCAATAGGGCCAGTCCATTAGCTAGTACCAGAATTTCTAGACCAGGCTGCAGAAACCCACAGAGCCTGAAGAAAGAACATTCAGTGACTTCCCAGGACCACAAGGTAAGACTTCTGTGAATTCTCTTGCAAGATTCTGACAGAGCCTGGGTAGCGCCAGCAGAGACGTGGACCTAGGCAGTCCCTGGGAAGTGTCTCTTGGTAACTGCAAGGAATCAGGGGTTCAGACATAGAATAGTGCTCTCCAGCAAGACAGGCATGCAGCAACCCATCCTTGGAGGCGCTGGGAGGCTGGGAAGTAATTGAAGAGTCATGACAGGTTCCTAAATTGAGCTCCTCCATAGACACAGCAGTCTTAAGATAGAAGACTGGAGACTCTGCAAGGCACCCTCTGGCTGCCCTGATCCCTGAGCCCAGCTGTAGGCACATTGTGATCGGCACACTTAGGACCTCAGTCTAGAACTGGTAGAATGGCTTCTGACGGAACCACTTAACCACTTTCTTTGTCCCAACGTTTTCCTTACAGGAGGTAGAACCGTAGGGATCCCAGGAGCATCCCTCACAGGGCCCAGCTGTTTGTGCCAAGTGTCGGGTCTACAGTTGTATTTTCAATGTGTTTTTCACACGTTGAAGGAGGAGTCCTGCTCTGAAAAAAAGGAAGATAGAAATAATATATTTTTTAATATCATGAAGCAGAGTATAACATTTAGCACAGTATTCTTATGAAAATTGAAGGCAGGCAGACTTTCAATTCTCAGAATTCAAATATCAACTTCAGCATTTCCTAGCTGTGTGACTATGGTCAATGTACTTAACCTCTCTGCACCTCAGATAGTTTGTCTGAAATATGGTAGTAACAATAATGTATTGCTGGGGGAACTGCCTCATCGCTACAGGGTTGTGACTCATCAATATCCAAGGATGCTGTTGTTATTATTTTAAATGACTCTATTGGGAAACCTATTATTCCTTCAAGAAAGCAAGGAATGTCAAGGTCTAAGGCAGAAGTGGCTCACACTGCCTGCAGATTCTCTGTTCATGCAGCTGGACATTCCACCATCCATATGTCACCTAGCAGATAGAACATTTCTTCTGGGAAATAAAAGCATAGTGAAATGCAAATAGTAGCCAGAAATAAGTAAATTTGAGTCTCAGATCTACTCCTGTGAGTTGCATAATTGTAGGCAAGCTATTCCACTTTCAGAGCCTTGTTCTCCCTACTTTGCAAAGAGGCGAGTCGGATCAAAATGAGTGAGAAGAGGGGGTGAATGCCTTAGCCACCAGTGACAGTTGTTTTTCCTGTGGATGAGTGGCGTGGAAAGGGGCCTCAGAGACTAGCTAGATTTTAAAATAAGGAAAAAGCTAGGAATTTCCTGAAGCTCTGTATAACCAATATTTTTAACTGTTGGGATCCAAGGGAAGAGAAGTGAAACCACAATGGAGAAGTGTAGGGCACGTCTGCATGGAAGTGGCTCTCAAACTTCAGCAGCAAGAGGATCACCTGGAGGGCACGTTGAAACTCAGATTGCTGATCCCTGCCCCTGGACTTTCTGGTAGTTGTGGGGAGCGGACCAAGAATTTGCCTTTGCCACAAGTTCCCAGTGATAATGATACTGCTGATCCAGAGACCACACTTTGAGATCCACCAATATTAATACTAAATCAAAATAGCTTGAGGTCAATGAGGAAAAATATTCAAAACAATGGTCCTTCTCTTTTTTTTAAGATTGAGGTGACATGTTTTACTTTTATTTTATTATTTTGTTTTATTTATTTTATTTTATTTATTTTATTTTTACTTTAAGTTCTGGGATACATGTGCAGAACGTGCAGGTTTGTTACATAGGTATACGTGTGCCGTGGTGGTTTGCTGCACCTATCAACCCATCAGCTAGGTTTTAAGCCCCCTATGCTTTAGGTATTCGTCCTAATGCTCTCCCTCCCCTAGCCCCTGCCCCCTGACAGGCCCCAGTGTGTGATGTTCCCCTACCTGTGTCCGTGTGTTCTCATTGTTCAACTCCCACTTATGAATGAGAACATGAGGTGTTTGGTTTTCTGTTCTTGTGTTAATTTGCTGAGAATGATGGTTTCCAGTTTCATCTGTGTCCCTGCAAAGGACATGAACTCATTCTTTTTTATGGCTGCATAGTATTCCATGGTGTATATAGCCACATTTTCTTTATCCAGTCTATTGTTGATGGGCATTTGGGTTGGTTCCAAGACTTTGCTAAACAATGGCCCTTCTCTTATGGGTTGTCTTTTCCTTTCAACAAGAACAAATATTAACTGTCTCCTCTTCCTCTGTGCCACATTCCATGCTACCAGTTTTCTCACTTAATCTTCAAAACACCCTTTGGACAATGTGCTATTACTATGCATCTTTTAGAGATAAGAAACTGAGAGCGTATGCAACTTGCTCAAGGTCGTACAACTAATAAATGAAGGAGCTGAGAAGCGGACTTAGGGCTGTCTGAAATCTTAACCCTGATACTGTCTTGCCTTTGAGTTTACTTTCTAGATGATTAATATTAAATAGTGCCAATCCATCAGCTAGCACCAGACTCAAGATGAATGTTGACAATTTGTAGTGTTTCTCTCGGGGTGCAGTTGGGACAGGGGGTCAATTTAGACTTGTGATTTGGAGAGGACAGAAAGCCCCCTGAGAACATACTTCTGGGTTCCTGCACACAGTATTTTCTACCATAGGTTCTGGTGTCTTGCCAGTAGAGAGATAAGACCACCAGCCACAACAATTAACAGGTAAAGTACACAAGTAACCTTACCTCTCATCTGAATGGGATATCTTTCCATCTAATAACATCTTCAGTGTTCTGAGGGCCACATGCCTACCTCCTCCCATTGCACACTTGCTCACCAACATCAAAAAATTAATTAATCTCTAAGTCCAGCTTATCAGTCCTTATCAAATCAGGTCAATATCCCAGGTCTCTCACCAAGTGATTCATTCCCTTCTCAACTTTTTCTAATGCTCAAGATTCAGTAGAAACTGCAGGCTATTAAGGGTTTGATCACTCTCATATTCTCTAGTACCCTGGGCCTTAATGATAACGGTTTAAATACAAGGAAAATGCAGCAAAATTTCTACATCGTCTTAATCCCAACACCAACATGGACAAGATCCATGAAGAGATGGAAAAATATGGTCATTCCCAGGCCACTTGGTCCATGATCCTTCCTGGGATGTCAAGGGCACCCAGGAAGCCTGGGAAAGACAGTCGGTTTTTTCACTCTGAAACCAATTAATGTTGAAAAATCATACACACACAAAAAAACCTTAATTAAATTAAACCATAAGTGAGCTAAGTAGTTAGAGACTTCAAAAACAGAAGTAAAGCTGGGGCAAATGAGAACCTGGAACCACTATGTAACCATTAAAAAGGGTACGTTCACGTCCTTTGCAGGGACATGGATGAAGCTGGAAACCATCATTCTCAGCAAACTGACCCAAGAACAGGAAAGCAAACCCCGCATGTTCTCACTCATAAGTGGGTGTTGAACAACGAGAACACATGGACACAGGAAGGGGAACATCACACACTGGGGCCTATCGGGGGTGGGTGGCTAGGGAAGGGATAGCAGGGGGTGGGGGTATTGGGGAGGGATAACATTAGGAGAAATATCTAATGTAGGTGACAGGGGGATGGAGGCAGCAAACCACCATGGCATGTGTATACCTATGTAACAATCCTGCATGATCTGCACATGTACCCCAGAACTTAAAGTATAATAAAAATAAAATAAAACAAAAAATTTTAAAAAAGAGCATCAAGGACCAAGGTGGTGTGTGTGTGTGTGTGTGTGTGTGCGCGCGCGCGCGTGTGTGTCTGCCTGTGTCTGTGTATCTGTCTTCCTCCCCGCTTCCCTCTCTCTGTCTCTCTGTGTGTGTATGTGTGTCTTTCTGCCTGTCTGTGTCTGTATCTATCTTCCTCCCTCCTTCTCTCTTTCCCCCCTTCCTTTCCCTCTCTTTCTCCTTCTCTCCTCTTCTTTTATCTCTCCCTCCCCCAACACTTCTCAGCTTTATTCTCTTCACTCTGCCAACTGGTGTTCTCTGCTCCCCCTGCATACAGCATAAGAGTGACCCCTCCAGCTCTGCAGAGCCTCCCATCCCACAGTAGTCCTTGGGTCCAATTCCAAATACCCAAGAGGAAGAAGTTACCAGAGCATTTGGGGTCAGTTTTTCACCTCCAGATCAATCAGCTGTGGCCAGGGCAGGGGGCAAGTTGGGGAGGTAGCCTGTGCCCACTCAACAAACTCGAGGCAGGCAGATTGCTTGTAATACAGTTTTGCCTGCTAAATTCTCCACATTTTGTAACCTGTTTTATTTCTTCGGGTGTAAAGCGTTTTTGCTTAGTATTGTGATACCGTATATGTTTTGTCCCAGGTGTATAGTAATGTTTCAGTCCATCATCCAGCTTTGGCTGCTGAAATCATACAGCTGTGAAGACTTGCCTTTGTTCCTGTTAGACTGCTTTTCGGTTCTATTGAGTATCTTAAGTACTGTAGAAAAGATGTCGCTTCTTCCTTTAAGGCTGTTTTGTAATATACATAAGGACTGGAATTGTGTTTTTAAAGAAAAGCATTCAAGTATGACAATATACTATCTGTGTTTTCACCATTCAAAGTGCTGTTCAGTAGTTGAAAATTAAGCTATTTAATGTCATTTAATAAAGTGACCAAAATGTGTTGTGCTCTTAAAATAAATAAATAAATAAATAAATAAAAATAAAAAATAAAATGCCCACTGCAGAGGGCTAAGCAAAGCCACCACCCAGATTGTGAACAAAGGGTCTACGAGGAGCTAAGTAGCCTCAGGAAACCTAGTCTTGCAAATCCAAACCCATTAAAGGAAAACAGCATGTTCCAAGAACACAGACTACAGGAAAGTCCAGAAGTTTATTTTGTCTGTGCCATGGTAGGTGATTCTTATTGTGGTGAAATGAGACTAACAGTAAGAATGAGATAAGATGCATTATTCATTTTGTCAGAAGAGGGAAATGAATGAACCTTCTTATGTGTTTTGCAGCAGCTGTACCCCATGATGGAACAGGTGATTGTAGTCAACAGTGTGCCTGCCATTAGTGCCTCAGGTAATGTTCATGTCAACCAGCCCAGCAACTCTGTGGCCTCTGGAAATCACGTGCAGCCTTCAAGGGTGACCACTTACCCAATCTTACCAAAAGCAATCCAGCATGCTACAGGAACAGCAAACTTACAGAACCAATTCGTGGTGGACCAGAAACCAGTAGCAGGTGCACAGAGTCAATCCATTGGGTATCAGCAACAGTATCCGGTGGGAGCAACCAGTTTGCAGACTGCACCTGGGGTGATCCAGTATGCACAGGGAATGACGAATTTCCAGACACGGCCTGGAGACCCTCAGAATCCTCCGAATGCTAACCCTGGGCTGACACCCACCTCAAACTCGTTCCAATGGAACGTGTCGTTTTCATCATTTACTGCATTTGATCCCAAGAAATTCGTAAATGAGGAGATCAGAACATTAGGGGTGAGTGTGATTTCTTGTTCTCTCCAATTTGGGTCACTTCGTAAGCCCAGGTCTACTGCTCTGGGATGAGGAAGGGAATATGTTGAGAGGGCAAAGGGCAGAAGGAGTGAGTGTGGGGGGCGATTTCTGGAGGCTGCACCCAGCACAATCCCCCAGATGCCGGCCCCTCTTCCCTGTCTTCCTCTCACTCCTCAAGGAGACCCATGGTCTTTGGAAGAGGCTGAATAATCAATGACCGGCTGTTCCTGGCTAGCTATCAGGGGCATGGGTCAGCGACAGTTCTGCTAAAAAGACCGCTGACCAAGGAATCAGGCAATGCAGGGCTCAGTCCAGCTAGATTTGCTGAGCAGACTTGCAGACATCTCTTCCCACTCTGGGCCTCCATTTCCTCATCTTTACAATAAGAAGATCTAGCTTTCTTAAATTCCCTCTAGCTCTGAGGGTTTGTAATTTCCTTTTTAATCAAGGGGGCCCCTGCCTCTTTCCTGACTCCTCTAGATTTATTTCACATCTTGCAAAGCTCAATTTGATTCTGTTTTTGAGGCAGAAGCCAGATCCCACTGAATGCTCGGCCAACTCCTAGCATGGAGACTGGCATGTCACAGGTGCCCATACGGTATGCATGCATCCATTCACCACGGCGGGCACCCTGCAAGGAGCTGGAGACTCAGAGATAACCAAGATGCCATCCATGAAGACCAAGGAGGGTCTTTGTTCGTGGCGGCTGTCATAATTACAATACCTTCTGGAAACAGCCGTGAGACACATGAACAAGTTATTGGGGGTGCCCAGGGTGCAAACTGTCTGGCTTCTTTGAGAGGTTACAAACTCCTTCCTGGAGGAAGGAAGACAAGGACAGGTTCAGAAAGGGGACAGACTTACGAACATCCCAACTCATCCCTCCTTATTTAATCCAGGATCCTTGTAGACAAGTAGATTGTACCAGAAACAAGGTGTTCTTTGCCTCCCAAACAAATCAAAATCAAATCGTGAACTAAATTCTATAAAACAGCAGTCAGGAATAGAAATCCTGGTCATGAGCATCAAGTGAGACTATAAATGTGTGTGGAAATCCTCCAAAAGGTAAAGCTGGTCTACGATATTGCATAGTAATTATAATCACGTATTACAATGACTATCCTTCTTATTAATTAATACTGGGTAAAGGCTTGTTAACTTTGGCTCCCAGTTATTCTAAGATATTTCGGAAGGATTTGAAAATTTGTCAAAACAGAATTAAGTCAGAGCAAATGTCTGGGGAACCAGGTCAAGCAAAATGAAAAGAAAAAAAGCCAAAAATGTGGACTCTCTTTAGCCAATTCCAATTTTGTTTTGGGAAGGAAACTACCTATGCCTGCCTCTTAACCCTTTCCCTGTTTGCCACAAGAATACTCGCCGGCAGCATTGGCAGCTGCAGTATTTACCCCAAGATAATTTTGCCATGTAATATCTCACTTTTATTACTATTGTCGCATTGCTCTAGTATATCAACCTTGGAAACAAGAGACATCATTCTATTTAGAGCATTCTGTTTATTTATAGCATACTGTACAAAATACAGTAATTCTTAATTGCTGAAAATGTCAAATCCTAAAAAATGTAGCATTTCCACGCATAGTGTTAACATCGTTCTCAAACAGTTGTCGGCCAAAGATTCAATTGGTGAATCCAATTTTTCCGAAATAGACAATTCTGATGTTAGTTCTGTTTAGAAATCACTCGAAGAGCCGTTTTTGTAATTTATCTTCACACTGAAAATCAGCCAGATTTGCTTTAGCCTCCAGAGTGTGTTTATGTAAAATTAAATGAGTTCTGGCAGTAAGCAGCACTATTTTTTTTTCTAAATGGCAAAGGGGTTAATTAACATACTGATAAAGTGGGCCTGTAGACACAATCAAGCATGTCATCTTAGGAAGGGACGTTCATATGAAACCCAGGTCTGTCACCAACTCATAGACTCAGGGACCAGGAGGGCAGAAAGTGGCTGCCCTACGGTGGTCATTTGACCCCTGAGGAAACCGAGGCCCAGAGAAGCCAGTGGTAAACGCTGTAGGAGCCCCAAATGAGAAGGAATTCATGCTACATGTGGGGTCAGAAAAAGAATCTCTCTGATCCTTAAGGAAAAGATTGGATTTCAATAGGACAAGAGTAAAGCAAGCAGATTTCAGACAGTGGCAACAGAGGAGAAAAAGGAGGGAAGAAAATCAGGGAGGAAAAAGGGGGAAAAACACAGGACTTGCAGGGAACAGAGGGTCCCCGGCGTGTACATTGCCAAGGGGAACCATGGGCACATCATAGAGAAGGCCACAAAGAGAGTATTGGTACCGGGAAGAAGAATGGTGTCAGCAGAGGGCATTGAAACACCTACCACGTGCTAGGAACTGAGCTACGAGTTTCACGGGCACACGTTTAATCTCTACCACAGCCCTGCAGGCTGGATACTGTTATCCCCATCTTGCAAATATATAACCTCTCATGCACATGTTCTTGAGGCTGAAGCAAATCTGGCTGATTTTCGGTGTGAAAATAAAATATAAAAACCGCTCTTTGAGTTATTTCTAAACAGAACCAACATCGGAACCATCTGAATCATCAGAATCATCTATTTTGGAAAAATCAGATTCATCACGTAAATTTTGGCCAACAACTACTTGAAAACGATGTTAGCATCACACACAAGAATGTTACGTTCTCGAGGATTTGACATTTGCAGTTTTTCTGCAAATAAGGAAACTCTGAGGCAGAGAAAATATCTGCTGGAGACCGCACAGCCGGCCAGTGCTGCAGCCAGGATGAGAGCCCAGGTGGTTTTCCGCCAGAACCCGGGCTCAGCCCATGTCTCTGCAATACCTGTGGGCTCAGTCTGAAGGGAAGGCATTTCTTGCTCTGTTATAGGCAGCCTTACCTTTCCTTTATGCCTGTGGTTCTCAGCCTGAGTGCACATTCACATCACCTGTGAAGTTTTTAAAACACACCCAGGCATGGACCCCACCCTCAGAGATTTTTATCCAGTTGGTCTGGGATGAGCCCCAACACCAGTCATGCCTGGGGTGATTCTGGGGTGCAGCCAGGGTGGGAAGCACAGCTCCACAGCTCACAGGCCCCCAGTTCCGCTCTCTCATACTGATTTGTTTTCCCTGGCAGGCCATCCAGATCCTCATCGGCCTGACGCACATTTTCTTTGCAATTAACCCTGTGCTGTATCGCTGTACTTTTGTGATGCCATGTTATACTGCAACTGGGCTTTCAGGGTACCCACTCTGGGGAGGACTATTCGTGAGTACAAGGCCATATGGTCTCCTTCCTGGGTCACTAGACTGGGACAAGAAGGGAGTGGAGGAAGAAGGAGCATGGAATCCCATTCCCAGTAGTATGACCCCATAGGCTAGAGCCAGCCACCTACCTGCAGATACCCCAGAGGGTTAAAGATCCAACTACCCTTCCATCTCCCTGCCTCAGCAGCACTCCCTCCCACTGCCACCCTCCCCATCTCCCATACCCCCCACCCAGCCTCTGGGTAGGTGAATCACTTGCGGCCAGGAGTTTGAGATCAGCCTGGGCAACATGGTGAGACCCCTGTTGCTACAAAAACACAAAAAAATTAGCTGGGTGTGGTGGCGTGCGCCTGTAGTCCCAGGTCTTCGGGATGCTGAGGTGGGAGGACCACCTGAGCCCAAGAGGTGGAGGCTGCAGTGAGCCATGATCACACCACTGTACCCCAGCCAGGGTGACAGAGTGAGAGCCTGTCTCAAAGAATAAAAAGAAATATCTCATAGGTAACTCAGAGTATGTAAAGTTGTGTGCTATAGACAGCATCTTCCTACCCACCAGTCATAAGAGTGGATTGTAAAATGTCCAGGAATTATGTAAAATGATTGTCAAACCATTTGGTAGCAGGAAGTTACCCATGTTGGGTATACACATGACACAGAAATCAACACATGCTCCAAATCAGGGCCCTTCCCTGCACTGCTGCCACCTCATAAGGCAGATGTTAATCATTTACCAGCATGCCATTAAGTGTATATCATCTTGCAGAGCTTAAATAATAATAATAAGTTGAACACTCACGTGTATGATTCCACTTAGATGAGGTCTCTAGGGTAGTGAAATTCACAAAGACAGAAAGCAGCATGGTGGTTGGCAGGGGCCAGGGTAAGGGGGTAATGGGGAGTTAATGTTTCATGGGCACAGAAAACACTAGCAAAACCCCTGAGTGCCCCTACTCTCCCCATCAATAATCCCACCCTTGTTCTCTCACTTGAACTGCATGACCCACTTGTAGATAGACAGGGCAGGCATCATTATCTATGTGCATTTGCCAGATGAGGAGACTGAAGCTCAAAATCTTCCTCTAGCATTTATCATCCTCATAGCCAGAAAGTGCTAGAAGAAGGTCCTGAGCTCAGGCCCCCTCAGTTCAGGGCTCTCATAACTGAACAGAGCTCTTACTGCTTTTGACGTTCACGTTTCTATCACCTGCCTGGCAGCATCAAGTGCTAAAGAGGACCCTCCAGCTGGGTCCAGGATCACAGCAGATGAGGCCATAGCCCAGGTCTCCTATCTCCCAGCCCCAAGGCTCTACCCACCACACTACTCAGCCCCTGCTTTTCCAAGATCACAGTCAAGGATAGGGCAGTGTGAGGCCAAATAAGCAATAAATGCATTTGGGCGATGATATGTCCAGGCAGAGAACTCAGGAAGAATCAGTCAAAAAATAATAATAATGAGATTTACAGCATCCTGGGACAAAATTCAGGTTTTTAGGAGAAAGGGAAGTGTTACTATAGACCCACAGGAGTTTGAATATTATGGTATTTAGTATATTTGGTGCCTAACCATTGGAATAGTAAAAATGTTAAGAGGAAATAAACAGATTTGCACATTTTGTGAAACGAGGTGAACAGAACATTGAGATTGGGAAATGCATCTCTGAATGGACAGCTGTCTTTTTTAACATGTTGCACAATTGGTCATTCTTTTTCTCTTTTTTGTTGTTGTTGTTGTTGTTGTTGTTGTCATAGTACATTACATCTGGATCCCTCTCAGTATGGGCTTCAAAGGACCCCAGCCCTTGTGTGGTGAGTCATAGTGCTATCTTTGATGATCCCTGAATGTTAGAATTTGACTCTCTACCAAACATGAAGAAAGGGGACTCACAGTAGTGGTGTGCCCTGGGCCTGGGCCTGGGCCTGGGTACAATGCGTGTCGATACCTTCTTCCAGTCAATCCCCACCACTCTATGAGGTCCTATTATCCCCATTTTTCAGAGGAGAAAATTGGGAAACAGAGAGGTCAGGTGGTTTGCCTAGGATCGTACAGTGAGTGCATGGCAGAGCCAGGATTTGACCCCAGAGCTCTCTGATTCCAAAGCTGTTCCTTTTTACCTATGGCATTTACTATTCAAAAACTTACCTCTTTGGAAAACTCATGAGTATTTACATGCAGTGCCTCATGGATGCTCCGAAAAAAACAGAAAGCCAGGTCCGGGCCAAACGAATATGTGTGTGCATTTCAACCATCCCTTTAAGATATTTTCCGCCATCCTCTTTGTGTGGGTCTAGAAGAGTGAGAGCAATGTCTGCCTTGAACAATTTAAAGTCTCAACCAAGAGCACAGGGCCCAGAATTCCCTTGCGCCCTTGGGGCATTATTCTCTGCTCAGTATCCAGCAAAGTATCTGGTCATGTTTTGATTTTTGCTGTGGCCTCTAAGAAGCTTAGGGATAAGTTTAGAGCTCCACAGTGGCCCTTCTCTCATCTCCTTCCTTTTCAGGTACTCCTTCCCCCCTCCACTTTCTCTACATGGCTTGTCATCTTTCTTCTGCCTTTTGATGGGAAAGCAGCAGGTCAGCTAGGGGCTGGGTGTCTAACAAAGGGTTTCCCAATTACCAGTCTCCAGTCTACAAGGCAAACTCCTGTGGCCCCATAGTCTGCCTTGCTTCACCCCTTTTAGGAGGAGCAGAGTCCTCCAGACACCCCAGCATCAATCAAGCTCACACCACCCCTTCATATCCCAACAGGACCAGGAAGTTTCAAATCCTCTGGGAAGTCCACTGCCCTCTCCAAGGTGTCTGCCAACGCCTGGAGGTCTCCTAGTCCTCTCTTGCTCTGACGTGTGACTTTCTATTGAAATATAGAAACTTCCGTTTCTACTTCTGTACATCTTACAGCTGTCCTGGCCCCTGCCCAAATGTGGAACATGGTCCCTTTCTGTTTTGTCTTTCTCTGTCTTCATCCCCATAACCCTCTTAACGAGAAGCAGCTTGAGTGAGGGATGGATAATGAATAAGTTGATGATTTCACCCTCTCAACACTGAGCAGCAGATCCCTCAAAATTGAATATGAGACTTTCAGGTTCTGAAAACCTTCCCCAGCCAATCCTACCAGCAGGCCCCAGCCTTCCACCATGGAAACCAAGTCTCCCCGACTCCCTTCCCTCAATTCAAGCTTGGGATCTCTGTTCATTTTCTCTGCAGAGCAGTCCTGCATCTTTGCCTTATCTCTTTCCGAATCTCATTTCCTACCCTCTGCTGCTTAGCAAGAAATCTTCCCAAACAAATCCAGTCTCTGCCATAGAAGGATGCTGCACATTGATTAAGGAATGATTTTGGGTGGAGGTTTGGAGGAAGGAGAGGATCAGGTAAAACAATAACAGGTACTAGGCTTAATACCTGGGTAATGAAATAATCTCTACAACAAACCCCCATGCTGCAAGTTTACCCATGTAACAAACCTGAACTTAAATGAACAAACCTGGACTTTAACAAGCATGAATTTAAAATGATTTCTCACCTCACTATCGCTGAAATAAACTGGCTTCTCCACCCTTCCTGGCCATCTCTTTTCTGCCCTGCCTTCTCTCTTCTCTGAATTCCCAAGAGTCCCCACAAGCTGGGCTTCAGACTCTTCGCACTCGGCTCCCTCTCTCCTCTCCCTCCTCTCCCACAGGTGAGCACCAGCGTCGTCCTGAACGTCATCTGCGCACTCTTGTCCCTTGGTGGGATCCTCATTCTCATTGTGGATCTGTGCACTGACTATAAGATGGTGAGCTTTTGACTGCCAGGGCCCCATGCTGCCAAAGGGCCAGGAGGGCTTACGAGGTTAATTCCAGAGCAGAAAGGAATTGCCCCAGAATTCCATCCTAGTATGACAACCACCACGGCTGTAAGCTATTTAACCCTCAACAAAATCCTGTGCCCTCTGAGGTGGCCATGATAAACCCCATTTCACAGTGAGGATGCTGAGACTCAGAGAGATGCAGCCAGCTGACCCCTCCTCATCCTGTTCTCTGCTTGGAGGTAGCAGGTGGCCAGGTAAGCGGCCTGGATGGCTGCCACACTCAGACTCACAAGATCACCTGCCCCTAGGAGTCTGTTATGGGATAGCCTTTCACACAAACAGGAAGTGCTGATGCTAGTCCTGGTCTTTTGGTGCAGGGGGAGGGGGAAGGGGGGCGGTAGGGACCTCCAGATGCAGATGCAAAGACAAGGATTCAGGTGCAAGTTGTGTATTTCAGAGGTTATTCTAGGAAACCTCACTAGAGGAGGGAAGAAATAAGACAAGCAAGGGGAGGAAGCCTCACTATAAAAGTGTTATCCAGCAAAGGCCTTTGGAGATGAACCCGCTGGGGACCTGGTAGCCAGAGAATGACATGCATCTTAGCTGTACCCTGTCCTAGAGTGAGGGAGCTGGGGTATTTATCCACCAGCTTCCCTCAATTATTGATCAAAAACTGCCCCTGGCCAGGTGCGGCGGCTCACACCTGTAATCCCAGAATTTTGGGAGGCCAAGGCAGGTGGATCGCCTGAGGTTAGGAGTTCAAGACCAGCCTGGCCAACATGGTGAAACCCCATCTCTACTAAAAATACAAAAATTAGCTGGGCATGGTGACATGGGCCTGCAATCCCAGCTTCTCGGGAGGATGAGGCAGGAGAATCACTTGAACCCCAGAAGTGGTGGTTTCAGTGAGCTGAGCTCACACCACTACACTTCAGCCTGAGCAACAGAAGTGAAACTCTGTCTTGAAAAAACAAAAAAATACCCCTGAGGGGCATCAATTCCCTAGTGCTTCCAGTCTGCCATGATCATGGACAAAGGAGTCTCTTGTGGTCAAAGGAAGCCCTCAGGTAAAGCCACGCAAATGAAAGTCAGGCAGCAGGCATGGAAATGTGGGAAGGATGTCGGTAACATTGACACAGTACTGGAGGAGACCTGAAGAACAAGATCAAGAGTAGCTAGCTCCACAGCTGGCTGCAATCTGATCCTCTCTCAGGACGAACCAAGTGGGCAAGGGAAGGCTGGCAGGACACAGGGTCTTAAACTAGACGTGTCTACAGAGGTGAAGGCAGTCCCTAAGGGGAGAGCTCCCTGCAGACCCCGGGAAGAACCCTGATGCACAGGGTGTAACTTGGTGTCTAGGGGATGTGGCAGCAAGGTGCTGGCCTCTAAAGTCCAACACGATGCAACAGGATGTCCCAACAATGTCCAGGGAGTGGATTGTGGTCACGCGGAACCAAGACCACAACAGCTACAAATCCTAAAGGTGGCCATTTGGCAATCAGGGCCTCTGTCATCAAAGAGCATACTAGCATAGTGTAGCACGAAGGCACTGGAGTCCAACAGGCATTCCAAGCCCCGGGCTCCCCACCTGCTGCTGCAGAGAAAGAGTGTGTAGGGATGAGAGGAGCTCAGTGACCTCTCCCACCTTATTGTGGGCAGGGACCAGGCCCAGAGCACACTGAGCTGTGTGGGGCCCCTTCAATCCTGTCTTAACTTCCGTCTTGGCAGAAGCCCTTGAAACTCCGAGGACGCATCCCAACCTGCCAAGGGAAGTATGAGGCAGGGATACTGGAAGAGGGCTGAGAAACCCAGGAGCCAGGCAGAGCTAATGATCCTGACCGGGCTGGTGTCTATCACCTGGCCCCAGGAGAGGCGCCCGGAACCTCACACAGGGTTTCCTAGCCAGTGCACTTGTTGAAATGTCTCAGTTTGGGTTCCTCCCAGAAGCAGACTTTGAGACAAGTAGTTTATTTGGGAGAGGAAGCAAACACCAACCTAAGGACTGAGGGAGCTGGGGTATTTATACACCACACCCTAACAGTCATGGAGAGAGGGCTGTTCTCAAGGAGCACTCATTCCCTGGAACTTTGAACCTGTGCCAACAGCAAAATGGGCTCCAGAGGCCAGAGAGAGCCCTGAGGCAAAGGAATACAGGTGCTGGCAGTTGGAAGTCAGGCCAGTGACTAAAAGGGTAAGGCAAGGGCATATAAAATGTGTGCCCCCAGCATCTGCTCCAAAGAGCCACGTGCAGAGAGGGTCTCAGGGCTTCCAGGTGAGATGTGTGGCACTCCAGATGTGGACTGTCACCTAGACCGTCAAGCCAAAGGACTAAAAGCCTCCCATTTCTCTCTGTCTCTAGGTAGATGTAAAGACAATTTTTGGTGGTCTGCTCCCCTTCGCCCTCCTGGAGTTCATCCTCACTTGTGTGGTCTCATATTTTGGGTGCCAGGCCACCTGCTGCAGACAATTTGAGGTAAGTGTTGGACTCTGTTCCAAATATCAGAGCATGCTCTGGGATTGGGCGTGGGCTGTAGCAAGAGGTAACCAGAGATCTGGAGAGATGAGACCTGAGAGGGGCTCTATCAGTTAAGTTTTGCTGCATAGTAACCTACCCCAGAACTTCGTGGCTTCCGGTTATTTAGCTCTTCATTCTTCACATCATCAGTTTGAGCTATGATCAGTGGGTAGCTCTTCTGTTGGCCTCAGATGAATTCACCCTTGAATCTTGGCTTGGGGATCGTTGGTCTCCAGGGTCCTTCGTGAAATAGCTCATCTCTGCTCCCCATGTTATCTCATCCTCCAGTAAGCTCACATGAGCTTCTTCATGGGGAGCTGGGTTCTCAGAGTAGCAAGACACAGCAAGCCCCCACAGGCAACCACTTTAAGTCCCTGCTTGCATCACATTTGCTAATGTCCCACTGGCCACAGTCAATCACATCGCTGAACCCAGATTCCATGAGTGGGGCAACAGCTCTACCTCTTGATAAGAGGAGCTACAAGGTCACCCAGCAAAGGCTGATGAATGTAAGGATTTGTAACCAGCATTGCAGCCTACAACAATGCTTCCCTCTGACCACAATTAACTCACAGTTGTTCAGGATGCAAAGCATGCTCAGCCCATACTTTGGATGCTCAAACATCCCATCTAATCATGGCATGGCATCAGTCTTGAAAACTAGGATCCAAATCAGATCTAGATGTGACTGAGGATTTGGGGGTATTGCTCTTCTTGATTCAGAAACCTATGAACTAAAAGCAAGTTCCACCCCCCATATATCCAACATACTTTAGTGAGAGAAAAATAGGATAAATAGAATTCTGTTCTTTCCCCATTCACTAAGGAAAAGAACAGAAGCACAAGATTGTCACTGCTCCATAATAATTCTGAAATCCTATGCGGGCACGTATTGTCCTACCCTGGGGGCAGAGAATGTTTCTTGATTAGGAGTCAATCTGACTATCTAGAAGACTCTGCCCATGCCACTGTTCTCTACTGCTTCCTGAGAGGAGCTTTCTAATCCATTGTTCTCCAGGATCCTGGCCCCACCCTCTGGACTCCTGGCTCCACCCTCAGAAACATGTTTTCTTTTTTCATAAGAAAAGGCCTATATTTTCCATTTTGCTTTTTCAACCTGATTCCTATATTAAGAGTGAGACCTAAAGGTCTTTTTGCAGTTTGAGCAATTTCAGTCAGATCTGGTCCAAGTTGGTGATCCCGTTACTAATACAATTCCCTTAAAACTCCAAGGGTGTTTTATGTATTAGATTATGGCTTTCACCATCTGATAAGAGCCACACATGAGACTGCTCTAGACATACTTTTCTCTCCAAATCTGTCAATGTCTATTTTGGGATTAGGCTTCTGTGAGACAAATACTTTAAGGTTCTTAGAAGCATTTTGTCTATCTGAAAGTATCTAACAAGCACTGATTAGGCCTTCAAAGGTCTTAACAAAGGGCTGTGTAGACACATCCTTGTTTTGATCTTTGTTCTTAGCCCTAGTTTTACTTTGAATGTTATTTATCCTTTGAGGACCTTGGAAGTTAGAGACAATCTTGTTTTCTAACTCATCAAGTCCTGGGCCCTCTACTTTGCCTCTAAATACCACTTGCAAACGAAATCATTCCTTCTTTATCCTCTCACTTTCTTACAGCACTTTATCATATGCAGCCAGGAGCACCCAAGTGACATTTTCAATACTCTGCCTGATCTCCTTAGCCAAATCCAAATGCTATTAGATGCGTATTTTTGTCTTCTAAAATACAACAGTGCTCCACCACTGTGTAACATGGGAAATCATTTCTCCACTCTGCTGTGGCAGTTTCTTCTCCCCTTTTCCAGCCTCCTCCAGCAGTGAGATCACCATTTTTCCAGCCTTTTCTAGAGGCTTACTCACAGCTTCTCCAGCCCCACCTGCCACCCAGTCCCAAACCGCATGCATGTGTTGGATGATTGTTATCTTACTTCTAGCTACCAATTTCCATGTCAATTGGCTTTTGTCCTGTATCAAACAACCCTAAAACTTGATGGCTTACTCAGCAGCCACTTATGTAGCTCGTAATCCCCTGGGTCTGCTGGGCAGTTCTTCTGACCCCTACTGGACTTGCCATGAGTCTGCAGTCAGTTGGTGAGTTGCCTAGTGGCTGGATGATATTGGGCAGTCCCACATGGGCATCTGGATGTTTGCAAGCTGGCAATCAACAGGGCCAGCTGGGCCACTTGTATTTCATTATCCAGCAGTCAGGCCAGTCTTTATGTTCACTGTTCCAAAGAGCAACAAGAGAAAGCAATCTCCAATGGGCAAACACTTTACGGTCACATTTACTGTTGTCCCCTTGGCCAAAGGAAGTCACATGACCAAGCCCAGCATCAGGGAGAGAGGGTCTACCTAAGGGTGTGGAAGCAGGAAGGAGAAGAATTTTTGGTCACTTCTTGCTGTTTACTACAGAGGAAGATGATGACCACATGCCATTTGTCTTTCAGAATGCAACAGGGATTCCAGCCATATTCAGTTTCAACCCATCCAGTACTACCACCACCGGCCCTGTCAATGCTACCACCAGCCCTGTCAATGCTACCACTGTTCCTGTCAATGCTACCACCAGCCCTGTCAATGCTACCACTGTTCCTGTCAATGCTACCACCAGCCCTGTCAATGCTACCACTGTTCCTGTCAATGCAACCACCAGCCCTGTCAATGTGACCACTGGCCCTGTTAACACCACCACTGGCCCTGCCAACACTACCACCAATTCTGTCAATGCTATCTACACCAACATTGTACCCCTGAACCCTCATATCAAGAAATAACTGATTTGCCCAAAGCTAGATGACATAGGATGCCTGTCTTAATGACAAGAGGATGCACTGCAGCAGTATCTTTCCTCCTCCCTGAAACTTCCATGCCCATGACCCTACCCTTGCTGCCAGACTGAAATGGACAAGCATTTCCTCTCCTCTTCACCCCTAACCTTCATTTTTGTTATTGATGCCTTTTTTTTAATTTATAAATAATTTTCCTTTGGTTCTTGGTATCTTCTAACCTTGGCGAAGTGCAGGGTGCATTTTTGTTCCATGGTTCCTGATGTGTGCTCACCGCTAAAAAACCAGTTCTAAACCAGTGCCTCAGCCATGGAATTCTTGTAGGTCCAACTTCTGCCCAGTCCCCGGCTCTAACTGTGACACAGTTCTCCCCCACAGAAAAGGCGGAGCAATGTAGAGTGTGTTCAGTATTCCCTGGTGTGGGAGTGGAGGAAAACCTTTGTGACCTAGAGTTAGGTAAAGAGTTTTTAAATAAGACACCAAAAATACAATTAGCAAAGGGAAAGAAAAATCAGTAAGTTGAACTTAGAATTAAAAACAGTTGCTTTTACTCCAAGAATGTTATGAAGAAAAAGAAAAAAGAAAAAAAAAAAAAACAGTTGCTTTGTGAAAGATCTTGCTAAGATAAAAAGTCACAGCCTAGGAGAAAATATTTGCAAATCATATATCTGACAAAGGACACATTTCCACAATATATAAAGAGCTGTCTAAACTCAATAGTATGAAAAAAATCTAATTACAAATTAGACAAAAGGCTTGAACAGAAGCTCTGACAAAGAGACTATAGGATTGCAAATAAGCATATGAAAAGATGTTCATTGTCATTAGCCAGTGCAGTGAAACACCACTACACACCTATTAGAATGGCTGAAATAAAAAATACTGATAATACCAAGTGCTGGTGAAAACACAGAGCAACTGGAGGTCTCAGATGTTATTAGAATATCAATGGCACTGCTACTCTGGAAAACAACTTGACTGATCATTATAAAGCAAAGTATACATTGACCATATGACTCAGCAATCTCACCCCTGGGTATTTATCTCAGAGAAAATAAAACTTACTTTGACACAAAATGTGAATAGTAGCTTTATTTGTAATAACCAAAACCTGGAAACAATCTAAATATCCTTCAGTGGATAAGTAATGGAAAGCAAACTGTGCTACACCCGTACAATAGAATACTTCTCAGCAGTAAAAAGGAACAAGCTATTGATACTGTGGGGGAGGCAAAACTTTACCTCTACCTATCTTCGCTTGTTTGTTATTGATGTCTTTTTTTCTTCGTTCATAAATAATTTTCCTTTGGCTCTCGGTATCTTTTAACCTTGGCACAGTGCAGGGTGCATTTTTGTTCCATGATTCCTGATGTATGCTCACTGTTGAAAATCCAGTTCTAAATCAAGCTATAATAGGTTTTCAGCTGAGGCTCTTTAACAAAAAGACAGGTTAACAAGAGAAAAGCAGTTTATTAACCCACGCAGCACACATCACCTGGGAAAAACCTCGAAGAAAAGTAACTCAAAACAGTGGCTTAGAATCTGCTTTCATAGCATCTTCCACAAAGAACAATGGATTTGTAGAGAAATGACAGGACAAAGGAAAGCAGTTTTAGGCTTCCAAAGGCAGGAAACTGTGGGAAGTTAAATATACGGAAAGAAACTAATGGAGTAAGGTTTGCAGTTTCCTCTGGAGCCATCTCTGGGCTAATTAGAGTCTAGAGTCTTCTCCAGTAAAGGAGAATTTATATCCTGCCTTTAGGCAGAAAAGGAAGAGGATGGAGGGAACTTTTACTGCATTTGCTTTTTCTTAATTGCTTTCAGCTTGAAATACTTTTTATGTCAAAGAGTCATATTTGGGGGTGACGTAATCTGGTTTCCTTCAATACACACAACGATTTGGATCTCAAAGACATGAGTGAAAAAGCCAGTCTCAAAGTGTTGCATATTGGTGATTCCACGTATATAATACTCTTATAATGACAAAATCATAGCCAAAAAGGAAGGAATTAGAACACCAAGAATAATAGCAATCTCAATAATTATAATAGCAACAACCCCTGCAATGGATTGAAATACATGGCTCATCATGTTCGAAAAAAAAAAACCTGTGATCGTCTTTGGAGATTGCTAGAACACACCTATTATTCTAAAAACTGGGAAATAACAGGAAGGAATCAAGCATTCTCATAAGGAAAAGCAAGGAAAGAATCATTCAGCCTAGGGCAGCCAATACCAAGGAAGGTAAATAGGTCATCAGCTGGGATAGCACAGCAGCAGGCAAGGAGAGGGTAGAGCTTAGTGCTGGGCTTAGAGCCTGGATATTTCCATTTTCTCCTGCTGTTCCTAGTTCGTAAAGTTCAGCATGCCTTGCTTGGTCTGGGCCCACAGGGTTGCTGATGTGAGCAATGTCCATAAAGAAACAGACTGCTACACTTAGCTATTGCCATAAACGTTCTGTAAAAACACAGTGGCAACCCACAAGAAGCGTTTATTTTTGCTGACGAGTCTATTGTTGGCTGGGCAGCCTTCCTGATCCGATCTGGGCTTGGCGGGACTCATCCATATGCTTGTGTTCACTGAGGGTCAGCTAGGTGGCCCTGCTGACCTTGACTGCATATGTAGGGCCTCAGCAGGGACCACTGGGCCAGCTTGGCTGCGCTCCAGGTGTCTCATCCTCCTGAAGGCTGGTCCAGGAGTGGTCCAAGGGGGTTGCAGAGCTCCAAGGGAGAACGGAAGCAGCTCAGACCTGACACATGGCCACTTCTGCTGTGTTCTATTGGCAAAGGAAGCCACAAGGCAGCTCAGTTTCAAGGATTTGGGAAAAGGGACTCCATCTCTAGCTGCAAGAGGTGTGGTGCTGGTTCAGCTGAGAGCTGGCCCAGCCACGGTTATCCAGACCATTCCCTGGGCCATCATGAGCCCTCAGGTCCTGTATCATCTCCCTGACTTTGTACGGAAGCATCAGGGGCTGTTTTGGTGAGAAGTGGAACCCAGAAACTGATGAACAAATTGCTCCACATGCATGTACCACTCCAATATCACACTATGTGCACACTCACACTAACGTGTTCACGCACACATATGCACACATTCACACACACTCATGTATGCACACACTCACATGTGTATACACATATGCACACATATTCACACACTCATGTTTGTGTACACACGTGTACATACGCACACATGTACAGTGTGTGTGTGCACACTCACCCATATGTTGTCTCATGCATATGGGTGCACAGGCACATGTGTGCACACACAATCACAATCACACTCACGTGGGTGCACACACCTTACAATCTCACATGTGTACGCACACACCCACATACACATGTGCATGCACACACAGGCACACACACCAACACACACCTACACATCCACACATTCACATTCACACCCTCACATACATTCACATTTACACACATACACGTGTGTGTGCACACATTCACACCCACCGTCACACATTCACACACCCACACACATGCACACACATCCACACATTCACACACATCCACACTCACATGCACACACACATGCTCAGATGCGTTCACTCACATGTGCGCATGCTCATACTCTCACACACACTCGCCCCTATGCTCACACACTCTGCCCCTGCATTGGGAAGTTGTGGGCTCCCTGGCCCCTCATCTAACATTGGACAAGTCCAATGGAAGAAAGACAGGTGGCCTCTGATTACTCAGTTTCCCCCACCCAGCGGCAGAAAGATGAAGGCCAGTGTGGCTCCCCGTCCCAGCTCTGATGCTAACATGGACCACTTGCCTCTCTGGCCCTCAGTTTCCCCTTCTGTAGATTGTAGGAAGGGATCCAGATGTTCTCCCAGGGCCCTTGTGGGCTGATGGCAGATGATTCCACGAGCGGCCTCCTCGGTTCCCTCAGTTGGGCCTTACAGACAGAGGCCTCAGAGCCAGGAGAGACCTGAGAGCTTCCCAGAGGCAGCGGCTCACAAGCAGAGTGGATTTCCAAGCCCCACGTGAATAGCAAAGCTTTCACATGAATATGTGTGAACTCAGGAGAGTAGGCTGAGGGAGAGCAGAGGCAGCGGAGAGCGGGCAGCGGCACAGCAGCGGTGGCAGCCGGGTAAGTACCCTCTGCCCTTGCTGGGCATTAGTCCAGGCCGCCCAGCCCCAGGGCATAGCAGGGGAACTGGCACACAGGCACCTGGGATCCCTGGGAAAGGAAAGAGGTAGAGCTGCTCATCACAGGAGGGTGCGGCCCTCCCCATGCAGCTTATCCCCCACCTGGCACGAGGGGCTAGAAAGCTCCTGGTGCCCTCTGAACGCCCGGCCTCTCACAGACAGGGAACCACCAGCCCAGAGCCCATAGGCCCCATTGCACAGGTGAGTGGGGAGCTTGCAAACAAAGCTGCTTCTGGCTCCTCGTGAATAAAGGTGATGCACAGAGACGCTCACAGAGATGCTCACAGAACGAGTCCTGGCTGCTCAAGGCGGCTCAGCCTAGGACTCTGGGGCAGCCTGTCACTGAATGTCCTAAGCTCAGTTTCCTCATCTGCAAGATGGGAATACTAATAGTACCGACCTCATAAGGCTGTTAACAATAATTGAAGCTAAAAGGCATCGCATGCCTCCTGTGTACCAGGCACTGTGCTAGGCACAGGTTGGGTGTTAACTCCCTTAAAACTCACAGCAACCACGGAAGTCTGACACTGGGGCAGTCCAGTGGCTTTTCTGACCGTGCTCAGACAAGACAAGCAGCTGTGATCTAGTCAGTGAAGTGTTCAGTCTTGTGTATGTCATGACTTGATTTGGGGCCCCTCAGTTCTCAGCCCCGGGAACATGGCAGGTGAGAAGGGTGTCTGGTGGGCTTCCCCTCCCTTTTCCCACTGGATTTCCCTCCTCTTCCCCAGCCAGCCAGCTAACTGTGGCTTCTGCCCTCTGCAAGGAGGAACAATGGGGAAAGAGGGGAACGGGATGGGAATGCGTACTTGCCTGATACTGTTAGAAGCTAGCATCACCTCCCTGAGGCTGGAGGTCAAGCTGATTTCTCTGCAAGGATATTTCATGGGCTTTATGGAGATGCCCCCCCACGCTTGGGGTCTCTCTCCTGCGTAGCCCCCACAAAATTCCTCCCTCAACTCAGGAATCAGGCAGGTCCATTCTGCAGGCTGTACATTGAAATCTCTCCCAGCAGTCTCCTTAAAGCCAGCCTCTCTATCTTGTCTTAAGATGAAGAAGGACGTATCCACTCCCCCATATACAGTGCTCACATGATTCTGTAAGTTCTCTCCCCAAACCCACTCTCACCCCCACTCCTAACCCCATGGGAGAGGAGGAAAGGCATCTAGCAAGTTCTCAGCCACCTGCTTTCCACCTGTCCCACTGACCCGTCTGCGTCACAGCTCACTTCAGTACCTGGTCCCAGCTGAAGCTCCCTTCAACATCTCTGACAAATACGTCAGCCTTCAAGGCCCACAGCCTGTCCCATTCTCCCACACTGCCATTTCTAGCCCTTGCTTTACTGGTCTGCAAAATGGGCTGAATAACACTCACCTCACAGGCTATGGGATGGTTCTATGGTCTCATACAGGTGACGGCTCTTTAAAAACTGTAAAAGGGCTGTGCCTATGAGGGCTGTTACTACCACTGCCCATTCACTGGGTGAAGACATGCATTTTGGTGATGTCTGGGCACTTTCTGTGTCTCTGCTACAGGCAGCTGTTCCTCTAATGGGTACCTTGCAGATTCCTGGAGGCAGGGGGCAGTGGCATTCCCTCCTCCACCTGTCTGTCCCTGACACACGCATTTGTATTTTGGGCATGCTGACTGATGGGTTAGTAAGAAAAAGAGAGTCCTCCTTCTGGGTAGCGCAGAGCTGGGGCATGGCCTCCGGAATGTGGCAGATGAGTTAGTCCCCGGCCCCAGGGTGCAGAGGCGCTGGTAGCAGCCACAGAGGGCGGGGAGGAGAGAGGAGTTTACATTCTCAGGAACTATGTGGCACTTTCATGCTCATGATTTCACTTACCCTGCCTGTTGACAGAGAGCCTATTTTTATAGGTGTTTTCTCTTCCCCTGAGGATCACAAGGTC